GCACGCTGTAGAATGAACTGCACCGAAAGGTTTTGATGCTCTCGCACTGTCATTATATACTAATATAGGTTCGGTTCGGATATTATATATAGAATAATACTACACATACGATTATTTCCATACAACATTTCTCATACAATATTATATGGTAATACACATACGATCATTTTCATACAACATTTCTTATACAATATTATATGATAAGATATGATTGGGTAAAAGTTTAATTTTAACTTTAAATTAGCTAATCATATCTTGCCACATAATGTTGTATAGAAAATATTGTATGAAAATAATGTATGTGTAGTATTACTCTTATATATAACTAGAGCAAAAGATTTTTTTTCACCAGTTCGATAATACTTTTTCATCTCTAGATTTTTAAAATACAACTTTCCCATCCAAAAAAATACATTTAAAGATACTTTCCCACCAACCCCTCCAATTGTCGGTCGATTCCAACATCGTTGAGACTTCATACTACTACCATTCTCTTTCTCGATCATCACTTATCAAAAACCTCTTAAACCTTACTTCCACCGATCCTGTCAATCATCGACAATTAAGTGATTAGGGTTTTCGCAGCCACCATTCTTAAGTCAAATTTGACCAATCACGACCATCAAAATCTAATCTTTCACCACTAAAAGACTCACCGGCCTCCCCTCTTCAAAAGCCTCAAAAAAAATAGACCAAGTTTGCTCTCCGTTCATTGTTGAATCAAAAAGTGATTTTTTTTAAATGGAAAAGTGATATTTTAAAAATCTATGAGTGAGAAAGTGTCATTAAGTCATTATACGGGTAGGAAAAAACCATAACTCATAACTATTGTTAAACTTAGAGGTGGGAAAGGCCTAGGCCAAGTCGTTCTTGGGCCTGGGCCCATGAGATTTCTCAGGGCCCGAACTGGTCTTGGGACTGATCCTTGGGCCTGGACAATTTTTTATAAATTTTTTTTTAATCCCTACATTTATTGTTACTTCCCTATTAAATGGGGGGTTTTGGATATTTTATAGGGGTTAAAAGAAATTGGGGAAAGAGTTTGGGCCCGGGCCTAGAGGAGGGACCGGCCCTGGGCTCAGGCCTTGGAGGAGGGACCAACCCTGGGCCCGAGCCCTCCTCCCTTGGGCCTAATCTAGTCCTAGGATCAGTCCTTATAGGATCAGTTTTGGGCTGGGCTTTTTGGGTTCGGGCCTATTTCCCACCTCTAGTTAAACTACGATTAAAATCTACATATTTTTGTGTTTAAACGAGCATAGGCAAACCCAAAATTAGTTGAATTCATTACTTATTTAACCTTTTATCATCCAGCAACCCATTCGGGTTATCTAGGTTGCCGACACATTCCTTGGACCTCAATTTGTGTCCACAATCTACACCCACATATAAAAAAATGCACTATTTCGAATATTCCCTTCTTTTTGTATTGTTGTATGACAATTGCTGTTTGGTGGTAAACGCTAGTGCGGTGTGGGTCAATACTCACCAATTTTTCTTCTTCTTTCCTATTTCCATTCTTGAGAAAAACAGACAACGATCATAACAAGTTTTTACATTCAAGATTAGTTGTAGATATACATTTCCAATGTTTTGTTTTTCCCTGCAACCAATGACTTGGGTCAAGAGTTGCCTCTGTCAATTCTATATAGTGTGGTAACTGCTACAAAGAAGGGAGGAGCCAGAGATTGAAGAGACTAGAACCAAATGATAGAAACCAAGAGAAGAAAGCGGTGGCCGCAGACAGTTGATATCTTCTGCACAAATTAAGGGGCCAATACTGCTCACCAGCTTCAACCAAGAGATTTGTGACACTGGCTGTTGAACACGCTGCTGCTAACGATAGAAATGACAAAACCTGTAATTGAATGGAACGCATTTCTTTTATCAAGTAATGGAAAAGAACATCAAGAAAATATGAAACAAAACACGAAAACTAACATACCCAATCCCCTATGATGATTATCAACATAATTCTTTGTCGACGAGGTAAAGATTTTAGGAAGATAGAATAGGCATCTACTAGTGCCAGTGCCATACTCCATGGAATCACTAAACCCATGATTGTGACCAAGAAACTGCAAAATTTCATAATCAATAACACAAAATTACAATTGAAAAAATTAAAACTTCAGGAGGGGGTATTTCAATTCCAAATAAAACATCAAAAGAAGCTTTCTGGGCAATTATGTTTATCGCTGAATTATCACATGCTGCTCCGTACTCAATTCTGTAATGGAAAACTGGTTACAGTGTCCGATACAGCGGACGAAAACCCCCGCAAGAATAGCTGAAACTCATGTGCATAACATCCTAGAATTCCGAATACTTTGGACTTGATTCTTTTCTAGTTTCTCTTTTTCTATTTTCCCAGAAATGGAGCAGTTGACCTCAGATTTCATTCATGATTAGTTAATTGTGTAAATAATTGACTTATTTTAATTCATAACGATGATGAAGAGTTAATCATGAATCTGAAATGAAGTAATAAAGAAATAGAATGGGAAGAAAATTACCAGTAAGAAGTGAAGCTGTAGAACTCAACACGAAAACTCATAAAAAGAAGCGATGCAGAGGAGAAAATGATCTGACCCAATCGCAAAGCCAGACTGGCGCTGGTGCCCATTGCTCCTGGCACTTCTTCCTCCATGGTAAGCCCGTGTCAGATGTTCATATCAAAACTTAAATTGAGGTAACCACCATCAGCCTAAAATTTAAGTTGGTTAGAGCAACGTGGAGCAAGACCAAGAAGGATTATACAAACAAGTACTTTTTATGATTGATAAGAGGTTAAAGAAAGAAGGGAAAAAAAAGAAAAGAAAATGTATATAGACAGTAGACGTGTTGATCAATGGTGACAGTTTCTCAATTTTTTTTGGACTTTGTCTTGGCCGCCACCTCATTATTAATTTCTTACCCAGTTCTCACGAGACATCCTATACAACTGTTTTAATTACAAATTTCAAAACAAAATACATTTGAATAATGTCTTTCTTGATTTACAACTAATACATTTGACTTCATAAGAGTGTAAAACAAGAAATAAAGACTTGCTTAAATAAAAGGTTTTTTTTTTTTTTCTTTTAAATTTTTTATGTGACCAAAATTTGATATCTTTCACTAGTAAATTATATTAATTTAACTATCTTTAGATGATTGAGTGATTTGATAAAGACTTTTGAGTATATTACTCAAGAGGTCTTGAATTTGAATCCCCCTTCAGTTGCTAGTAAAGGTAATCATTGGAACTCTTATCTGGCTGATAATTCCAAGGTTCTGGAATTTGTGTATTTAATTTGGTTTATTGACATCATAACTTTCAAAGTCTAATACCTCAATAATGAAGGATACACTCAATTTTGATTAACATGTATCTGCCATTTGGAGTGAAAATAGGCCAAATTTGAGCCACATAAAATAGACAAATACATGAATCCGGAGGTGTCTCTTTTGGTGGAGAGATAAATACAACTGAAAACAGATCTTTCTAAAATTTTAATAAAATAAAATTTAAGGTAATGAGGTATGTTATATTAAAGTTGTAATCACTTCCAATGGTGTACATTAATTAATGGAACAACGACCACTAAAGAATTGGAATTAATAGTTGAAATCATCATTTCAATTTTCAGGAGCTTATCTTTAAATATTAACAACTTGGAATTAATTAAGAAGCTCTGGACCAATAATGAGCTATAAAATATATTGGTTTGTATGAATCGAAACATTCGCGTTTAGACGTGTGTATGTTTGTGCTAGAGAATGGGAATGGCATCCCTGTTCCGAAAACACACTTGGGCATTACCTAAATAAATAAACAGTGATGCTAGGCTTACCGACTCAGCCACAGATTTTACATACCGACTTGAGTTAAATTTTCAGATTTGGGTTATTGGGTAGTGAGTCGGTATATAAAAATCAGTATTTGAGTCGGTAAATATAGTATTATTCATAAATAAACGAGTCAAGACTGGCCAATTTGGGTACCAGAATCCACTAATAGATGTCTTTTACAAATGACTGTTTACAACAAAATTCAAGATATGATCAGGAACAACTTGCCAATGATTAGGCCTTTTCATTTCATGACATCCAGAGCTAAATCTATTTTTTTGCAACGATTTTTCTATAACACAATTGCAAACATTTGTATGTTCAATACACCAGGGTATGAGTGAAGCCAGAGATAGGAACTAAGAACAATTGTCGAAGATGATTCTGCATTGTTTTAAAACTCGACCCACCTCGGCCTTGCTGGTTCAATCGGGACTCGGGCCTTCACTGGGTCAAGTTAGCAATTTTCCTACTCATCGAAAATCTTAAAAATTGGGACAGTGATAGACGAACAATTGAAGGTTGGAATGTTGGGCCTTTTGAAGAGGAAGAGTCGATGAGTGCAACGGTGGCAACAGAGGTGATTTTCGGTGAGTGAACTAACCGAAAATCGCAAAACAAAATTGGCAACAATAGCCCACTATTGTTGCCGATTGGCGAGGCAATAGGAGGAGGGGTGATATGGGCTTTGATAAGGAGGTTGAGGAGAGTGTTTTTATTGTCATAAACAAGCTCTATTTGTCTTGGTCTGTCGACGCCGACAATGATGTTTGAGGTGTTTTCGCAAGATTTTAAAGATATAAAAACTTATAATAATTTTTAAGAGTATTTTTATTATATTTCAAACGTTTAGACACCAGTTTGACCATCGATCAACCCAAGACCTGGCCACTTTGCTAGGTTTCACACTGTTATTAAAACACTGTAATTGTGACGCTTTATGGGATGAATAGGGGCTTAATCAATGAGTGGACATTAACTTTAAGAAAAGTTAGAATCTTTCTGTGGTGAGGAAGCCGTGATATACCAACACTGGTTTCCTGGTTCACGCCCGCAAATAATATATTGACTAATTTTGATAGGTTATAGAAATCAGGAAATTTAAACTTGTGTTGGGTTCAGGGCTCAGATCAGAACACCCAGATCCACTATTATCTAAGAATGAAAGCTTGAGCTGAAATTTTACAACATTATTATAAAAAAGTCATGATAATATACAAACAAGATGATATTCGCAGTGCTTCTCGATTGGGTCACAGAAAAGTTTAGCAACAACTTCAACATATTTCAAAATCTGAACAAGGAAAGGGTACATTCATACAAGAAAAGCTCTATGACTCAAGCTGAGCATACCAGATTCCTTGGATCTTCACATCCTTTGGAACCTTTGCCCCCAAATCAGTATCAGATGGCTGAATGCTCTCAAAAACTCCAATAACCTCTCCAGTCTCAGGCTTGCTGTTGGTTACACTTAGGGTGATTTTCCCGCTTGAAGATGCAGTGTTCTTGATGTTCTCCTTCTGGAGCTCTTCCTCATCTCCTCTGCCTCCAGCAGGCAATGCAATAGCATTGTCATAACCGGTTGAACCACCCCTGCCCTTAGGGTCCAAGAAAGATGATCCACGGTAGGATGGCACAAGAAATTCTCCTCCAAACTTTTCAGGTTTGCCTGATGCCACCAGCTGTTTGATGGTGAAAAGAAAGGGTACACGCTCGCCACCAGGTAGCTGAACTGTCACGGCAGCATAGTCAATACCATCCTTCTCGACAAATTTAACTGTGCCATCAGGAGATACTTCAAAAGGTCCTTCGATCTCGTCAAGAGTGTAGGTAAGACGGGTCATGAGCTTGGTGTTTTGGAATTCTGGTGGGGAATTCTTGTTCACACCTTCAGCCTTAACAGTGAATGAAGTGGGCTCAAAACAGAACTTCTTGGCTTGGTATTTGCCTGGCTTGAAGGCAAATGAGTCGACACCACCTTCAATTGTTGGGCATTGGTTAGCAGTTCCTGTTCCCTTTACTTCCATGTATGTTTTGCTCTGGATTTCATCAAAGGTCAGCCTCTTTGGAACACCTTCCGCACTTGCTCCCTGAGGAAATAAGTAAATATTGTTCCAAAAGGTCTGATGTTAATCACCATACAGCAATCACTGGACAGTGTATTAAAACCTATCTCAATCTGCATGGTTTACCAAAATGATTTCCATTAAAACAAATTAACATTATAATGTGTTCTGTTGCAGGCTAAAGTCCATGAAACAACGTTTATTGGCTCTCAGCAGTACTACCTTTGTCACTAAATTTACAGGAAACAATGACGGGGTGCATTGCAGCATCGACACCTTTGGATTTAGATTATTGAATGTTTTGGTAACAGTATGTAAAGTAAACTAATCCTCTGTCCTAAACAAACATATATAGCAAAAAAGGAGAAATAATTCAGTTGAAAAAAGCAAAAGGATAAGTGAGTAAGAGGTAGCAAACAGACCGAAACGACAAGAGCAGAAGTGGCGAGGGCAAAGCCAGCGATCTTGGTAGCATCAAGACATTTCTGTGCTAAGTCCTTTAAGTCAGTTTGCAACGAGCAAGTGAGCCTAGCACCAGCTGCGTCCACACCAAAAGCCTTTGAAACGCTCTGAGAAGACCTCAACTGGACACTGCTGCGAGCAGGAGCCACACCCACCTTGGTGGGTTGCATGAGTGTAGCCGCGGCTTGTAATGAGGCTGCCATCTTTCTCTCTATCACTTCTTTCTATCCAAAGAAACAAAGTAAGTTTTAGAAAGAGGGGTCGTTTTGTATGTGGAGGGAGTGACTGCTTTTGGTGGCTTTGGTGTAACTAAGATAAGAGATAGGATAAGGCTTCTTCCTATTGGATGATTGAAGCTAATATTCTGCTTTCATGGTCTGCCACGTGGAAAATTGACATTTGGGATAAAGATACTCTCTTAATCTATAGATGATGTGGTGAGAAGAAAGAAACTAGCTGGTTCAGGTCCTGTATTGGAATTCTTTCCTCCATAAATCAGTGTCACCCATATCAATTTTAATATGTGGTTCACATGCTTTTCTACTAAATTATTGTCTTCTCTTTTTTCTTTTTCTTTTTTTATCACGGCCAGTTTCTTTGGAACGGTTAGTTAAATAAGAGTCTCGATAGTCATCTCTATTAGTGTTTAGAAAGATTCAAACTTAAAAATTCATAGAATCTCATTTTGCTCTTTTACAATTAAGTTCGGTAGTGGTTCATGTTCCATTTTCCACTCAACATATCCATTGGTAAACCTATCTTAAATTTTGAGATTTTATAGAAATCTATTATCTGTGTTGTAAAAGAATTTTCAAACAAAAAAAAAAGGAAAAATTGTTCAAGAGAGTTATTAAAATCTTTTATATATATACATATAAATGGCTCAGGTCTGGAACCTGCGACCTTGGCGTTATAACACCACGCTGTAACCCACTGAGCTACTAGACCACTTTTGATATTCAATTTTTTTCTGAATTAATGATTTACTTTTCACACTGATCCTGTATAAAAAGATACTATCATATACCATCCTTCAAGTTTGCATTTTTATCAGGTGAAGAATAACTTTGCCAATTTTTATCAAGAATACTCTTTACATTTTTAAAAGCATAATACTAACACCTTTGTCCTTAATCCATCAAATTGACATTATAATTAAATGGGTAAAGTATTATATTACTTTTTAATATGTTATTCCACAAGTGTCAAATTGAATAAATTTTTTAAATTTACAAAAGAGAATTAAAAATTAAAATAAAAGATAAAAAAATAGAGTTAGGACAAAAGGATATCAACGATATGGTTTTAAAATTGTGAACGGTATGTACGATAAAACTTGACAAAGTTACAGGTAAGTACGATAGAATGTTACAAAATTACCACGAGATTGATATGCTTTCAAAACTATAAAGGATATCTTTGATTAAAACGTGAACTTTAAGGATAGTTTTATGATAATATCTTATTTTCAAAAGGTACTAAAAACACTTAAAATCTTATATCTACAAAAGCAGCATTGCAAACTTTTATTATCATCTAGCCTTTACAACCAAAAGGAATTTCCCTTTTTTTCCCCTTGTTTTTGATTGATGATTTGATGAGTTATTTGAGTGCATATTTGATTAGATATTCTAAATGGACATATAATTATAAACTTGCCATTTTGTAGGAATTATTTCATCTTTTACTAATCGAATGGATTGAAGGGGGTTTCTAATACTTTTCAAACTTGTGGGTGACTTATTGATGAATGAGAACAACCCTTTTCTTTATTCCATCTCCTTTAACTAGACTTTTATTCAAGCTTTCGTGGGATCTAAAAAACCAATCCAAATCCCAGAACCACACAGAAAGGGCAGCTCAAAAGTGCTTGAAATACAATCACCGAAGTTTGGAAACTCCTCTATACATTACTGAGAAAAAAAAATTTCTCATCATCGCTGCACCCTTCTTCTCTTTTGTGATGGCTCAACTTCTTGTTCGTCATTTTAAAAGAAACCCAAAATAAGAGTTCCAAAGTATAATTTTCATTCTTACTGGCTGCTCCTGCTCCTATGGTAAATGAAGATGCAGATTTGCTTATTATTTCACTATCTCTCAAAATTAATTTTCTTTCAATACAAGTTCTATGTCCAATCACAATTTAGTTTATTTAATGTAACCTTCGGAATGATACTGTTTTAATAGCTAATCAAAACTGATCAAAGTAATGGCTGGACCAAACTCAAGACACCCTTCACTCTCAACCAGTACAATACTTCACAAGGCTAGAATTTAGATTAAGCAAAAATAATTTTTTTGGCTAAAAGATAACAATTTAGCAGGCATTCAGAATGAGTAGGAGGTAATTGATTCAGCATATAAAAATCAGACGCTAAACAAATCATCATCATGCCCACATAAATCATGAACCACCCAAATTAACAGATTTATTTATGTTTCGTAAAAAAAATAAAACTTTTAAGAGGAAAAATAATGATGAGGGCATGAAGTTCTCTCAGACAAATGCCTCGATTTGTCGTCACGATTTAGAGAATGGAAAAAATCGGACTCGTCATCATTTTTGCTCATCACCGAGAAACTTTTCTCCTTCATCATTATATCATTATGTTCTCATCATCATTGATGAACGAAACTAAAAATTGAAAAAAAAGATTAAGGAAAACAAAAATTAAGACTCTGCGAAACAAAGCCCCATTAGATACCTGAAAAGTGAAAAGTATATGTAGGTGAGAGCCGAACCAGTGCCGCTACTGATGAAGTTATTGGCTTTTATAGGCCAAAAGGCCGTTGAGTTGAGTTTTAGGTTTAGGGTTTTTGATCTGTATATTACCCACACTATGTCTTTAATTTACGACTATACCATCTAATATTCCCAAGTTTGAGTGGGCCTAGGCCTTTCTTTAATTGCTTTTTAATTTTTTTGGATTCCCAAGTTTGAGTGGGCCTAGGCCTTTCTTTAATTTCTTTTTAATTTTTTTAGTTTGATGACAGAAGATATCCGATCCAATTTATACTTACCTCAACTAATCTCTAAGATCTTGAAGTTAACAATCGGATAAATCTCTTTAATAACCTTTCTTTAATTTTTTTTTCTCTTTTATTAGGTTACAAAATGGTTTTTGAAAAAAGAAAATATTAATAAAAAATTTATAATTGAAAAAATTATGTAGAAGATGGATGAATATGAGTAGTGATTAAATTAACAATTATAAAGTAACAGGAGCTCCATCCTTGTGAAAAACATTACCAAGACTTCATATCAATATTTTCTAATTTGATAAATACTCTTTTTTCAGAAATAATTATTAAAAAAAAAAAAGAAAAAAACATTTCAACACTCTTATGTAAATAATATGTTTTGTTCAAGTTGTGGAGCAAAGACATTTCAACACTCTATATAGACTGTTAAGAGAACCTAAATAAAGTGGACTACCAGTGCCCACACAGGGTACACCAACAGAAGGATAATGCCAACAGTGTTTGATATTCCGTTGGTTTGAGTGAAGGAATTTCTGAATCCGCCGGATGCTCGAATGTGCTCTTGCAATAGGTAACAGCCAATAATAAGACATATTACAACACCAACCCAGCTGTCCTTCAACGTTTCTGCAAAGAAACTCGGTGCCACAACCAGAAGAAGAATCAATGATCCAGGCATCTCCAGCCAATCTGTAGAGTAACAATCACCAATCGATAAGATCACTAGATTAACCAATGCATAATCACACTGTAATCAGAGGCACACACCCCTGCAAGTATTTAGGATTATTGGTTGCTTATGCATTCAGGATTCTTGCAACAGTCTTTCGAACGTCATAGATTTGAAAGTAGTGTGTAAATAATGAAACTAGCATTGTTTATCGAAGATGGCTAGATGGGAAAACAAGATGTTATCATTGATGAGACAACCAAACATGAACGTCATAGATTTGAAAGTAGTGTGTAAATAACGAAACTAGCATTGTTTATCGAAGATGGCTAGATGGGAAAACAAGATGTTATCATTGATGAGACAACCAAACATACGTTCCATCTGGAATATATCACTTAAATAAGTATCAATAAATTTATTTCAAATAGCACAGTTGACAGTATAGGGAATCATAACAATGGTTATAAAAATTAAGTGATATGGAAAACTCAGGCTATGCAAGAAATTCTTTTTGCAATAGTGATTGCAAATTACCAAGAATAAAAGACCAAGCTTCAAATGTACAAATTGAGTAAAAAAAAAATCAGCCTTGAGATAGGGAATCACAACAGTGATTATGAAAATTAAGTGATATGGAAAACTCAGGCTATGCAAGAAAGTTAACATGCTATAACTTTGAAGATTAGATAGGCGAGAATAAGTAATGGAAGAAAGCTAACAGAGATAAAATTGCTGCAAAAAGAAAAGAAGAAAAATAAGGGCAGAAAGTGCAGTGAGTTGAGCAAACCTGGGAAATGCCTCGGGAAGAAAAGTCTTAGTACAACTGCAATGAAAGCAATCCATCTTCCAACCTCTCCTCTAAGAGATCGATTAAAAATAAAAAAAGTTATGTTCTGAAGAAGATAATGACAAATTAAGATATGAATTTGATAAACAAAACTGCAGTGAGACCAGAGACTATCACCTAAAAAAGTTGAACAGTACTGATGGAAGACTAAAGAATATATATGGTATCAATAGTGCAGTCAGCATGTTTGTTCTCCAGTTTGTTCGATCCAATATCAACAAATAACTGCAGTAACATTTAAGAGAGAGAGTTATTAATTATAAAATATGCCAATCAGTTAAACAGAACATTATATTTTATGAAAAATACAGAGCTCAAATACATCAACAACATGGAATAGCAACCAAAGGAATTCTAAATGAAATGGTGTTAGACCCAGATTTTTGGATCAAAGAATAAGTATAATCAAGGAAAATCACAAACTAAGAAGAAATGTTAGCATAGTCTTAATAAAATTCAACAAAAGTACACTTCATAAAGGCCAGTGAAAACTCATTCTGTTTGTCTTTCCTTCTTATTCCATCTTGGGATTGCAGATAGAGGAAGAAAATAAGAAGATCAAAGAAAGATTTTTCCTTTCCATGGCTGAACATGGGATGACTATATCAAGTTACATTTTAACAAAAACATTATCCAACAAGCATGAAATGAAATATTTTCCTCTACAAGAAGCAAAAATTTTGACAGGATGAATCAAATCCTTTCTAATCAATGGAGAAATTCTAGATGAAGTGTCATGGCAACAAGTTTTACAATGTACATGACCTCAGTATCCCAGATTGATTCACCAGTATGTGTGGGGTACTAGACTTAAAGAGTCCAACCTGAAGAATATATGTAATATAAGCGTTTATAGTTAGAAATTAGTTTAACTACAATGAAAAATTCAATTGTGATCATTTTACAAAGATATAATCATGATTTGAGGTCTCAAAGTTTTACAAAGATTTCACCCCAAAACTGTTCATATGCTAGAAGACCACCCACAGACATATTCAACACTGTTAGCTTGGATCCTAAACATTGTTGCAATTTCTGTCATGTGATCGATCATAACACTGACAAAATATCTCTTTCCCCAGCCGTTATTTTTGTCAGGATTGGTAGAATTTACTTCAATTTTCATTCATATCTATGCTGTAGAAAATTTTCATGAAAAAACATGGCTATAGAGACATAAATATAATATTAGATTTTAACACCAAAGAAACCAATTGAAAGTGAAAAATGAACCAATTGAAAGTGAAAAATGAAAATGAATAAAATATTAACCAATAAATTAATAGTTTTTTATCGGGGCCAGCCTTAAATAAAATGATCCAATAATCTCTAATCAAACTTCTGATGATTGAATTAATAAACATAAAAAAAAAGGTAAAGTTACGAGATGTAGAGCCAGACAAACAGAGAGGAGAGCAAAATTTAAAAAGATTTGACTTACCAAGGACCGTAGGAAAGGTAGATAAACAAATGGCATTTATTTACTTCTTTAAATTTTGACTTTGACAGGAAGATGAGGGATCTAAAGAAAGCTAAACATCATATGCTAATCCTTCAAAACAACCAGTTACGATAAGGATAGCTCTAATCATAAGCGGACCTCCCACAATGTATCAAACATTTCAGTCACAAAACAACAACAACCACTGTTGACACAAGCAAAGAATACTCACATAGCGGCAAAGGAGGCAACCCATTTGAGAAAAGAGGTTCCAAAGCCAAGACCACCGAGTTTAGTTGCGTGGTTAATAAGCTTCTTTGCAGCAAGCTTAAGCTCATTGATATCAGAGTTAATCACCTCAGCAGTAACCTGATTGTCAGTTTTCATTCCCAGATAATCCATCCTCCCCATTTTTTTCTCTCAGATCTGAAATATAATCCAACCCAGAAAAAAGCAGTGTATATCTATAAGGAAATAATTGAGAATTGAGAGGTGAAGACACAAAAACCGACAGACGAGTGACACCAAAGGCAAAAGGGTTATCAGTAATAACTAGATAAATCTACTAGATAAATCTTTTAGCTGCACTTTATTGGATCTATATCCGATACCAGCCAACGGGATGATGTGAAATTATTATTTTTATGAATGAGTTACTGTGAGGAGCCCCGTGGTTTGAGATCGTTTCACTTGAGTGAATGTTAAAGATTGGAGCGAAGTTTCGGATCCCAACTGTTTCTTCTTAAGGCAGTCGTTGCACGTGGATTGATCTTGACGTCCGTGATGGACACGTGGAGAATGAATGAAGTTAACTGGCTAAACTTAAGCTTTAATACTCCGTCTCAGACGCTGCGTTTGCCTTGGTTGGCGTTGTGTGTCACGGTGTCAGTGTGGTTGAACTGTTGAAGTTTAGGCCCAAACGATCAATCATTGAGGCCCAGTTCCCATACCAAAACAGAAATCACGGCTCCCACTTCATTATACGCGGACAAACCTATCAATATCAACTAATTAACCACTGAGCCATGACGTTAAAGACAAAATAACAAGCAAATGCTGACAATCAATATTCTACTCTTTAGTTTAAATTTAAGTTGGTTTAAATATTTTATTCGTATTTTAAATTAAAATATATACTTATTTTTTTATTATCAAAATATTATTTTAAATTTTTAAATTCTACCTCGTAATAACCATCCAACTACCTCATAATAACCATTAAACTCTATCTAACAATAATATTCCAAAAATATTACTCTGAATAGCTAAGGCTCCGCTTGGTTGGTTTTTGAGAATACTATTATTAGTATTCCCAAAAAAGTTAAACAGTAAAATGCCCAAAAACTCACAATATTATCTAATATTATTCAATTTTTTTATTAATTTAATTAAATACCCCTAAATATTTTTTTTTGAAATTGTAAAAACACTCCTAAACCCACATTATACCAGATTCCGACCACCACTGTCGAAAGTTGGCCGGAATCTGGTAGGATGGCACACTACTGGCTGGATCTTGCCTGTAGTGCGCCGATCTAGCCTTTTCTGACCAGATCCACGATGGATCTGGCTGAAAAATGCCAAATCTAAGGCCAAAGATCTAGCCATTGACGGCCAGATCTTTGGCCATAACCAGACGTCAACGACGGCTAACATATGGTCATTGTTGACCATCAACAACGGCTGTATCTTTGGCCATCATTGATGAGCAAATGCGATCAGATTTGACCGTCAATGGCTAGATCCATCGTGGATCTGGCCGGAAAAGGCCATATCGACGTACGTTCGACAAGATCCAACCGGTCATGCGCCAATATGGCAACTCCGGCCACCCTCCGGCTGTGGTGGCTAGCTGTCCATATTTGATGGGTGGATTGGAGATGTTTTTGTTAACTTTTAATGTTTTATTATAGCGGTGTTTTGTTAAAAAAAAAACATAGGGGGTGTTTTATAATTTGTAAATCCTACATCGTAATACCCGTCCAATTCTTTTTTTTTTTTCAAAAAACTTTTTCCAAAAACGTAAAAATGTGAACCAAACGGAGCCTAAATAAACAGCATCCTAAATTTTGATTCTTAACAATAATATTAAAATTTTACATACAAATAGATAATCATATGGTTCATAATACATAAAATTTCTCTTTTCAATAACCAAGCTCAACCTCAATTCTCCATCGCGAACCCATAAATTTCTTCATCTATTATAATCAAGATCATACTTTTGACAGTCACCAAAAGTTGAGTATAACTAAAGCTAGAGAACTTTATAAGCATAACGAATTGATCATCACAAAGCCAGATAAATTTTAGCTTTAAAAGTGTCGGTCGTTAACTTGAATCTGATTTGACAATCTCTAAGCGTTTGATTGATTATTCTCATACTAATTAACATGAAAGAATAATGCTACTTATATCAATTAAATATTAAATTTCATCATGTTGAGAATGAGTTATTCTATAATAATTTTATTGATATAATAATAGATATGATAATTTCGAATTAGATGACACGTCACTAATTTTTTTTAAAATATTCTATGCGTGTAAAAGAAATGTGGGACAGTTTACAATAGTATCCAAAATTCATATAGAGAAATTACGTTTTTAAAAAATAAAAAAATTTAGGTTAATGGATATGGATTTGTGAGGATATAAGATAAAACAGAAGATAGGATAAATAATGTATTATATTGATTCGAGTTACTAAAATTGACAGTCTTGATTTTGATATGATGCTAGACAAATATAATTCAAAATCATATATTATTTAAGGTAACGAAATTAACTCCATTTCACTGTAAATGGTATGTCAAGAATGAAAGTAAGAAAGATTCTAGAAATTCGGGGGTTATGTTGAAAGGATTCCTGGATTTTCATCACTTGGACAGTTGGACTAAAGCATATTCAGTGTAATAATCCTGTCCTGTCTTGTTTTATTGTTTCATTCCATGATTCTTATTTGCTATATAAGTGGACTTTTATGTTTATGGAGTGACCTAGTTTCTGTGTTATGTAAACTGCATGTCTAAATATGAAAATTCACTTGATTTGTTTTGTGAATAAAAACACAAAGGGATATTTCTTGTCATTTTCATCACAAGAAATAATCCTGAAAACCACAATGGCAGCAATAATCATGTGATGCTTCTAATTTGTTCTTAAGTCTACAGTATTAAAAAGTCCCGCCACCACTGCTGTCTGTTCCTCCCTGTCTGCCACAACATTTGGCAGTGGGCTCAAACTTTAGAGAAAGACTCTATAAATTATTGGTGGGAAGATTTCCACTTTCTGACTAACATCCAATTTTATTTCGTGTAAAATACAACTTTAGTTGGCAATTAAAGTTGTAGGGATTACACACCACCAGCCCAAATAACCAAGATATAAAATTGCAATTACATGTTAAATGAAGGTCTACTGCTGTCAATGGTGTTGCCGTCCCCTTCTGTTGTCCACCACCGTTTGTTCGTGCGAATCACATACCTGCGTCTTGAACTTACACCCAAACTTTTTACTCACTGACTCTCTCCAACCCCCAACCGGCCCTTTCTTGTCAATCTTGTCAATCACCTTCTTCATCGTCGAACACTCCCTCTCTAGCTGATGCACCCGCGTCCTCATGCTATCCATATCCAACCGTAACACTTGATTCTCCCTTACTGCTGCCCTCCACGTGCCACTTCCACTCACCTCTCCACCAACAACTTCCTCTGCTTCTCCCTCTCCCTCTCCCTCTCCCTCTCCCTCTTGCCTTATTCCCGACGCTCTCCCCAATTCCTGCGGCACCGTCTCTGCCGCCAATAGAGTGCCCGCAATGGCGTGGCGTAACTGTAACTGCTCAAAAAACAATACCTGAACCACCGCCCGTAGAGGTAAACGCTCATTTTGTGCCGCGTGTGTGCACGCTTCCAGCGTGAGCTTTTGGCAGTCCATTATTCCGCAAATCTTTTCACGCTCCGCCTCCGGTAACCACGGATGCGCCTACAAAATAAAAAGCAGAGCTTCAGATACATAATTAATTTATAAAAATAAAAAAAATTGACGATCCTATTGCAACTTTTACCTTAAGATAAACATCTACAGCTCTATAAAGACCATCGTCGAATAGTCTAGCTTGATCGGGAAGAGAGATTGCTAGATTGTAGAATTTGTCCGGTTTAAGATTAGTATCAGATGCGATCTCCGAGAGATAACCGTCAATCAATTTGCCGACGAGCATTAACGGCGGAGATCTTGCTGTATCGTCCTGATGTTGTTGAATTTGCAATCCTTCCAAGTAGTAACCCAAAATTCTTTCAACACAATTAACGTCATACAAAGTTTCATTTAGATAGGAATAGCTAGGGATTAGCAGATCATCAAGTGTAGCTTGATCGAGTTGAGATCCGATTTTTTTCTCTAAAGCAGAACGACATGATTCTGATGCGTTTAGTATATTAGCAGCCCTAAGTAAACCGAATAAAAACCTCGTTGCGGTTGTTGACGTTGCGGAGGCGCTCTTCTCTAAAGGAAGATTAGCAATTACAGTCTCTAATAGCTCTCTCTGTTCGTTCTCTGAAGGTATTGTTGACGATGAGCTTGGTTTTCTGCTTGCCCTTGATAAGCCTGGAATGTACTTTTTAGCGTAATGCATCAAGCAGCTTTCAATAATTTCCTGACTCAGATCTCCCTCTTTCATTGCATAGATTAAGCGCTTAAACAAAGACAAGCTCAAGAGCGAGAGATCTTCGAACCAGGAGTGAAATTCTGAGTTTTTAGCGCCTTTTCTACGTAGACCGGTTTCGATTCCGTTCCATAAACCTTGATTTGAAGTTCCTCCGTCTTCAGTAACCGGCCAGCCAAACAGAGCAGGATCTGCAGATGAAGCTCTTGAAACTATTGAGTCTATACACCTCTGGATAATGTTTAAACTCTCGGCTAATGAGATGACCTTTTCGCAGGATTTCAAGGCCTTAATTGACTCCTTTAAGCTCTTGAAAACGGCTTGAGAGAAATACCTCTCTGTCTTAGATATGAGGTTATCTTCCGCGTATTCGTCAGTCATTTCGAGATACTCTCCAGCGCATCGGAGAGGCGCTACAGTAGAAGAGGAGAGCTCCATTTTAACGCCATAACAGAACTTGGCCACCATCTCGAAGGTTTCTGATCCTCCCGGGAAGTCAGGTAAACTGATGTTGCAAGTAATTTCTTCTGCTTCTTCTTCTTCTTCTTCGATTTCAGTTTGGGTTTCCTCTTCTCGTACTATATTGGTTGTAAGATTTGTTTCTTGTTCGGTTATCATTTGGTGAAGCTTTCGACTCTTGGACATTAGAGGAAACTAAACACATCAAAGAAAAGACGGTTGTTAGTAGAGAGAAATTAAAGGGTAAAAAACAGTAAAGCGCGAGAAAGGGAGAGAACTGACTTTGTGAAGATGAAAAGTCATATCGGCGACTTCGATCACAATGTCGCTTGGCAAACCAATAGTACAAAACCTTAAAGAAAATCGTCAATGAAGTTAGTTCAGAATAAAAGTAGATGAAAAGAGAGAAGAGAAACTGGGTAGTAGTTTTACCATGCTTGGCCTTTAGAATTAGGGACCGAGGCAGAGGCAGATGCAGAGCTAGTGCTAGGCTTCTCGGCTGCCATTTTCTCAGACATTCTTGTTATCTCTTAACAAACCCAGTCAGAAACTAGTTCAGAACAGATCCATAAAAACCCTAAAGAAACTAGACAATTGTTTTAATGGGTAAAGTAAGTGGTCTGGGTTTTGTGTGTATTTAATATAAAAAAGAAGAGAGAAAATGGTTTTGGAATCAGAAAACTACTGGGAAGGTGACAAATGAAAGCCTGAAAATTTTCAAAAAAGGGATCATATGATTATTGCTTTACAAAAAATTTCTTTTTATCCTTGTTTGAATCAGACGAGAATCTCAACCACTCTCTCTAACAGACGTCAAGAAGATGGGAAAAAAAAAAAAAAAAAGATTAAAAGAAACAGCATGATATTTTATTTTTAGCTTAACTTATATAGAAAAATAAAATAGACACATCATCATCCATGACCAATAAACACATTGCTTGCCAACTGGTGTTTGGCTTTCGCGTAAATCATGCCAAATTTTTTAATTATATTTTGCCTTCCTGACATGCCCTGAATTGTCTCCTTCCTTGATATATCTTACACTACCAGTACCCGCTACATTTGGTAATAAAAAACGTCAACAGTGAGATTATAGATTATAATTTACCTATTATATTTAATTTTTAAGGATTATATATTTACCAAACATAGGTTATCAAAGATTCCTCACTCTTTTATAAAATAAAACAAGGAATTGTCTAAGGGCTAAGTAAAACATATTTAAGAATCCAATGTAACAGGTCCAAAAATCAAGTGGTCCAAAAATATGTTGATCAAAGACGTCAACTGGGCACGAGAAGGAAAGGGTCTATCCGTTGGTCCAGATTAGGTTGGTGAAGTTCCAGAAAATGTTGCTGAATCAAATAATTAAGGGCTTAACCTAAGAGTTAAATAGATTTCTTCCCGCTCAAATAATGGTTTAATGACATTTTTTTATTTGTAAATTTTTAAAATATTATTTTACTACTTAAATTTATATTCTGACGGCGAATAAAGAACATACTTTGTTCCAACTATTGAGGTTTTTAAAGAGGAGGGCCGATGAGTTTTTTTTGTGGTGGAATGTTGGTTTTTCGTTTTTTGTGATTAAGATTAATCAAAATTTAATTGTCAACAATTGGAAGGGTCGATAGGAGTATGATTTAAGAGGTTTTAGTGAGTGATGATCGAGAAAGAGAACGGTGATAACGCAGGGTTACAACAATGCAGCAATTCGATACTGAATATAAAATTTAAGTATTAAAACGATATTTTAAAAGTATGTGGATGGAAAAATGTAAAATCAAATAGTGGGAAAAAGTGGTTTACTCCTTAATCTAACCAGAAAAGGATGCAATTTTCCGCCGCGCCGTCCAGGATTGGAGTGTTGGGTTCATAAATCTAACTTACTAAGATTTGTGCGGGAATAAATGTTCACATGATCCACATGAAGTAATAAATCTCTTGGTACAAAATTCAACGGCTGAAATTTTTGAACCATTTAATTTTGATATCTTGATCTGGACTTGCTTGTTTGAATTTTAGGTCTGAACATTACAATAAATATCAATATGGTATTCGCTCATCATTTATAGCAACATAGCTACTCTTTTGTTGTCTCCCATCCTCGTATTAATGGCCACATTAATGACAATCACTGTGGGGGCAAATATCGTCATATCATATATTCCTAAAAAAAAAAAAACAAAAATGACAGGCTTTTGAATATAAAATAAATGGAGTGGTTTGAGTGTTTGTTGGATGAGGGAGATGAGAAGAAAGAGAAAAGGGTTTGGTTGTGAAAATAACATGTCTTAATAATGGGGAAGAAGAAGAAGATAATCAAATTATTGTAATAAGATTAAGATTGGGGATAATTATGAAATTATTGAAGTAAACATTATGATTAAGAAGGGTGGAGGTTATGATTATGATGATGTCAAAAACAGTGGGTGAGTGTGGAAAAAAGAATAAACTGAATCTTCTACTGGTTTGAAGTAAATGTAAAGATAAAAAATAATCATTCAAGAAGACGACTTTAGGATTACAGAAGAAACCCTTTTATTTCCTCTATCACGTGGTTTGGTGACTAATGATTAGAGAAAAAAAAGGGTCATTGGGTTGGTTACTTCATTTCTTCACACCTGTTAATTGTGTATGGTGAAGAAGGGTCCTATTAATCAAACAAAGACAACAAAAAGCCAAGTAATAAGACCCAAATTTTCTCAATATCAGTACTTGCTTTTTGATTTTGTTAATATGGGTCACATTTGTTTACTATAGATCTAGATATTAGGTAAAAAAATGGGAGGGCCCTTGATCATTTCTTGCAACTTTTCAATCTCTAAATTTCAAACCTCCCTCCCTCTTAAGTATATTACAAAGAACAAAGGAAGCACAAGAAACCATGACAAAATCAACACCAAATCCTATGGCATTTTGGGCACCCTGCACAAGATAAACATAAACATAAAACATGAGTCTGAGCCTGAATTATTTATTAATTATTCCGTAATCTCACATAAACAGGTTGGTCAATAAATTATTGACCAGACCATAATTGCCCACATTACATTATTGTTAACAGTAGTATCAACATGTTGACCAGGCTTAAACAAACCCCATTTGCTTTCTAGAAATTAGAAAACATGTCATGGAATCCAACTAAAACCATCTCTCCCCCTTTATTATTTATTTATAAAAGCCCCACCATGAGCACCTACTGTCACGGCATCCAAAGCATTCAAGATTTTGCTTCGCCTGCAAAAGAGAATCGAAATCAAACATATAAACACCAATCACTTTATTAACAGCTGATTCATGTCAAACCAAAGCAGTTTTATTATTGACACTTTACATAATTCAAATCGCCAATTTTAGGATAATTTACTAACGTTTTTAATAAATTTATTGAAAAAAAATCTTCTATTAAGCCAAATTCGATATATTGTCCATTGTTACGTACATCGGCAGTAAAAGGAAAAAGGAAAAACTAAGTGCACAAACTGTTAACTGTTTTATTTTCATATCCTTTTCTTTTTCCTTTGTTTTATGCCATTTCTTGTAAAAAGAAATCGGCAGCTTTAGGTGTATGAATGAGGGCACTCACCTTTTACCATCTACTTCTACATAACACATTTACAAGTCTTACTTTGTCAAGAGTAGGGTTGTGATTCCAATCGAGCTGCTCGTGAATAGCTTGGGCTCTGCTTGAGCTCGAGCGACTCGAGTGTCGAGTCGAGTTGAGTCGAGCTCAAGCTACTCAATTTTCGGCTCGAGCTGCTTGCAAGCTTAGCCAAACTCAACATGGGATATATGCAAGTTTTGCAACTCCTAAGGATATATGTAATTTATCATTTATCATTTTGCATATAGAATATTTCAATTCCAAAAACTCTAACTTCTTCTTCTTCATCCACCGACTCACTTCTCCTTCTTTTTTTTTTCTCCCCCTTCGAGCCGACTTATATACTCTCTCTTTTCTTCTTTTTTTCTTCTCCTTCTCTTTCTCTCCCCCTTCGAGTCGACTTATTCATTTCTTCTTTTTTTTGATCTATTTTATTCGAGCTTGAACCCAAAATTCTTATATTGAGCTCGAGCTCTTTTTGTTCATGCCGAGCCAAGCTCGAACTCCCCAAAGCTCAACTCGGCTTGATACACCCCAGTCAAGAGTTTGTTTTATGAACTCGTGTACCAAATTTAAGCATTAAAAAGTGGAATCAACATAGTTCAGACGCCAAATTAATTACAATAACTTATAATTATATATTACATTTAAAATCATACATTAATCATGGCAAATATTAATAATGTTATGACTTATGAATGCCTACAGAATCAATTCTTGCATTATATATTTATATATCTCACCCAGAGCTAATAATTTATACAAAGTAGGTTATATAAAAATACCGGTGGTGACGGTAGGGGTGGTGGTAGTGGTTGGAGGAGAAGGGCAAGATGGTTGGTGCGGACGTGGGATAACAACGCCAGGCCAGGAGCGGCAAATGCAATGCTTTCCCTTATCTATGCTAGCATAGAGGGTGTCAAGATGCTTACCACAGCCACCCCAACCATATTTTCCACATTGCTTGCAATCTACCCTAAAACACATGATTTCCTTTCTTCTATTTTTATTTTAATTCATTTCTCTCTTGTTTATCCAATATATAAAGACCTACCACTTTGATTTCATCTATCTTTCTCACTATGTGCAGTTAACTTTGTCTTGAATTCATCGATGGGGAAGATACGCTTTGGCCTCTTCTATTTGTTTGTTCATTCATTCACTCTCTTCTTGCTCTTGCCCAAAATTTCATGTTGCTTGCTAAAATAGCAACCTGTTGCCTCAAAATTCTCCACACAATTTCGTGTGACCATAGATTGTTTGTTTCAGGGGCAGATGCTACTCAAAGGTTTTAAAAGATATTAATATGTATAATTTCTGGATTTTGATCTATCATAACAGAAATATTAATGGACAAAAATATTGGGTGCGTTTGTTTTATTATTCCCTATCCTATTCCCAAAATAAATGTTTGTTTAATTATTTAGAAAATACTATTATATTTTTTTAATTACTTTTAGACACCTTAAGTTTATTAATTTAACTAAACACCCCTAGAAAAAAAGTTTAAAAATTAACAAAAATACCCCCACCCACCCATAGTTGCCAGATTCTAGCAACCACTGTCGGCGATTGCAGGAATTTGTCACAACGGCGTTGAAACAATCGAAATTGGCCTATAATTCGTTGCTGACGGCCAAATATGACCTTTTGCGGCAGTCAACAACCAGATCCATGGTGGATCTGGCGAAAAGGCCATATTGACGCACGACTGGCCAGATCTGGCTGGTCTGCGTCATAACACCATTTTTCGATAGTGGTGGTCGGAATCTGGCACTGTAGGTGGATGGGGGTATTTTTGTCATTTTACAACATTTTTATATATGGGGGTGTTTAGTTAAATTAGTAAACCTAAGGGTTTTTTTGTTAATTTTTAAATTTTACCTCGTAATACTCATTCTATTTAACTACCCAATATTATTCCTAAAATCATATTCAAAATAATAAAACAAATACACCCGTTAATGTGAAATTAGTTTTTATTTTGATATACTCTAATAGAAATTTTTGGGTTCACCCTGGTTAGTTTTATTTATTTGCACCAACAGCCTGTCGGCATTTAAATAATTCCAAATGCATAGTACATTCAGTCCCATGAAATAAAAGGAACTGGACGTTTAAGCCCAAAGAAATTGAGAGCTGTCGTTGGATAATTATAAGGAACTGTTTTTAGTTCCCATCCCTCACTTTTAAATATATTTTTTTTGTTTTGACATTTCTAACCTTAATGAAAATTATTAAAAATGACATAGTAATTTCCAAATACACTCATACTTTATTTTAATTCTTAGTCATAAACCCTAACTCTAAATCTTATAAACATTGAAACATTTTTTTTTTATTTCAAATATTTCTTTGTTTAATAAAAATATATTACTAAAGTTATGGAAAAAATAATCACAAAATGGGATGAATCTAATATGAAAATAAACTGGCTTTGAATTTGAAACTGGGAAAAAATAGTCTAAACAAAAAACCAAATTAAATTTGAAATTAAGAAAAAGTGGTGTAAACAAAAACCTTAATTAAGTTGATACTGGGAAAAAAAGGTGCAAACAAAAACCTAATTAAATATGATTCAATATTAAATGGGTTCTTAAGATAATTAAAAAAAAAAAAAAAAAGAAGGCGGCAGTGCAGCCGTGCAGGTTATTGATCAATTCGATGGGGCTCCAAAATCACCTTCTAATTATATAAGCCAACCTTTTCTCCAAGTAAATTTCATTCTTTTTTTTTTTTGGCTTAACAATTTTCCTATTAATTCATGGAAGTAAATATCACTCTAATTGTTGCTCAAAATTATTTGCTTCAGAGAAACAGAATTGCATCGACGATTATATAATGAAAAGAACCATCTTGTTTTCAATAAAATCAAATAAATATAATTTTATCGTTTCTATTCACATAACATCTACATCACATGTGAATGCAATAATAATAATAATAATAATATATATTCACATAATAAAGTAGAATAATGACATTGAAGGACAGAAAAGTTCTTTTGTCCTGTAAAAGGGTCAAACCAGGATTTCAAACTTAAGAGGATCCAATCCCATGTAAGGTTGGAATAAATGTAACATTTATATGGTGGAACCTATGAAGCCTAATATCCTAAATATAATCTCTCTTTCCTGGGGGTTTCACTAAGCTAAAGGGAGACCACAAATATAAATAAATCTGCATCAGCAACATAAAGTTATCAGTGATAATTTAACACAGAATATTAGCACAATATCATCATCCTCTTCAACTCACCGTTTCCATACTTCTATACTACTACTACTACAGAAACATGATAGCATACTTGTGTTTCTAGACTACCAAGGATCCATCACATCAATAATTAGCTTCAAATGACCCACCAAAAGTTACTTGTTTCAATTCAGTACTTCCGTGGACCAATTAACTATATAATACCATCAATTGTTATCACCCTCATCTCTGTCAGATGAACGATCAAATGTCGCTTTCTTTGTGGCACTTGATTCTCCCGACCCACTGCTCATTGATACTCGCTTCACTCCTCTTCCTACAATCCCAAGATGCGTCACACCAGAACCGGCAGCCCCATTTGTGTGAGCAGTGGAAGCAGTTGGAGAATCAAATTCACCGCTGCTGTTAGCAGTACCCATCTGCGAAGAGCTCATAACAGATGCAGATGCACCCTTCTCATTGCCTTTTCCCTTGGCAGACGCCATTGCCAGCAATTCTGCGAGAAGTGACTTTGGGTTCGTGACCAGCAGTTGCAAATCTTCACGCTGCAAATTCAAGAATGCACTATTAACTCAGGAAGGTCAACATAAAAACGATTGTTATTTCTAACAGAAATTCTTTTGTACTTGCCTTCTTTTCTAGGTCTCCTAAGAGTCCCAAAAGTGTCTCAATCTCTGCTTTCATATCTACCAGCATTTTATCATTTTGGGGCTCATTGGAGGACTGCTCAGAAGAAGCCGCCGAAGAGGCTGCCTGTGAGAGACTCCTATATTCATTCATAAGCCGCTGTACTCTTGACTTGCAAACTGATATAGCTTCCTCGCAATATGGAACTGCTTCCTGAGGCTTGGAGCCAATCTCCAAACATAAGCATATGCGGAAATTTCTTAAGTACAGAGTTAAGGTTGTCATTGAGTGAAAATGCTTAAAAGAAATAGAAGTTAAGAGCTCTAGAACCAGTCTATGTCCCAGAGACCATACATCTGAAAAAAAATCTGACAACCAAATAAACAGATCACTGGACAGTTATCATCTATACCCACATTCCAACATTGAAAAGGATACAGTTCAGCAATGTGTCGACTGTCAGGCTCAACCAGCTTAACTAAAACGGATAATGCATTGTGATAGTCACTAAGCGAGGTTTCAAAGTCCTCTGATGATGTACAAGAAAAAGGCATCACGATTACTAAGTCCAAAAAAAAAACTTCCAGATAACAATTGCCCACAATTGACCAAGATAAAAGAAACATTTACATAAAACACTAACAAACCTCTTTCCAATGACACTTCAGCCAGTGTTGATAATATGTCGACTTTCTCCAAAGTGTCACCAAGGTGTTTTTCAGCAATTGCCCTTGCAACATCTAGCGTTTTCCATGCCAAATCCAGGTCAGATTCATCTTCATCTGCTTCAGCCATGTCCTCTTGATCACTACCCTCTTCATCATCTTCCTTGCCTTTCCCACCAGAAACTGTAACTGAAAAAAGTCAGCAATCATATAGAACAGATAATATCTCCAAAAATGATAATGATGATGACAAATTTCAAGGGATCTACTAAAAAAAAAAAACAAAATCTTTATAAAAAATTATGGGGCAGCAACTGAAGTCATTTTCCGCCATCTCAGTTCAACTAAATTCAAAAGCAATGCTCCCTCAATAACCTTTCATATACAACTAAGTCATTCATAGCTCACCCAAGATTTCTCAGGAACTGCATGATACTACACACATGCACATTGGAAAATTAAATCAAATATAGCTAGAAGAGCAATCAGCACGACTTGGAATTTCAGGGACCTCAGACCCATGCTCGAGTATGAAGAATTCAATTCAAAATCTAAGGGTAATCAGCACCATTGATGACAGTAATATTTACTACTGAAATTAGATTTCAATATGATTAATGTGATGCCTATGAAACTTAATGAATACAGCATAACATAAGGATAAAACTTCCACTTTTTGGAACTATAGAATCAGGATAACTAATTATAAGACCACATCTCTAACATCGCAAAAAATAAGGAAACATATATTCTGTTTTCTGATGTATAATTTTTAAATTATCATTTTCCAAACAAGTAACATTTAGGGGAACCGAAAATAAATTCAATGCTTCAAGCACATTATTGCAGAAAAGAATCAAATGAAAACATTAATAATCCACATGCCAAAAACTATTAAAAAAAATTTATGTTGCCATTTCTCAAGCAAAGTGAAATTCTTTGACGCCTGAAGCATTTCCCAACATAACAGGGATTTTACTATCACTGTCCACCAGGATTGAGGCAAGTTAAGATTAAAGTTGTTCACAAGCTAGATATACCAACATATGTTGAATTAATAAAACCAAATATTTTAACATATATTTATTTCAGTATCCCAAATTTACCAGAGTTCTGATAAACCAAAGTTAGATATTAACATGATAATTTGAAGCATTTCAAGTATACAAAAGACAGAAGAATTAGGTTCAACCATTAAAGTAAATACCTCACAATTTCATAATAATAAATCAGACATTATTTTATAAATGATAAAGCAACCAATAAATTTCCATGAATGTGCACCATGCATGCACTGAAGCATCTGTCTAGGACATTATCATAGATTAGATTATGAAACACCATTTTAATTAGTTAAACACTAAGAGCAAAGTACAAACCGTCATTTTCTGTTACATCCAGTTTGTTTGAACTCCCATCCAGCTGAGTAATAGTTGAAGCAGAAGCTGTGGAAGATTCTCCATTCACAACATTCTTAACAGATCCCTCTTTATCAGAACCTTGTTCATATTCATCCTCCTTTCTAGGCACTGAAACCAATGGATCTGCCTCCTCTTGGGCTCTGTACAGCAATGCACGTCCATATTGATAGTAAGCATTCAGACACTCTGGTGCAAGTTCACCATACAGTGCAACCCTAATGACATAGAACTTCAAGGATTAGAAAATTACTTTCAAAAGTAGAACTTGGTGTTGAAATATAAAATAAGAAATAGAATTATTCTCATTGTAATATAGGAAATAGAATTATAATAGGAATAGGAAATAGAATTATAATAGGAATGTAACAATTTACTTCCTAGATTACTTCCTAGATTAGTTTTTTGTTTTTGCTATAAATTCATTGTACATCTCATTATGAAATAGAAGAAAATATTTCTCCACATGTTATCAGAGCCAAGTGTCTGAAATTTCAAATTTTTTTTCTTCTCTCTTTCTCGGAATTTTTTTTTCGGCGACTGTTCTCCGGCAACGATCAGAATCTGGTCTAATCACACCAGACTGATCGTCTTCCGATCGTCGTCATAACCCGAGTGATTTCGTCGCCGGCCGCCGCTGCACGCGCCCTCACGCGCCGCTTGTTTTTCCGGCGAGTATTCTGTTTTTCCGGTGCACGTAAGTTTTTGCTTTTCTGTCAACTTCAAGACACTCTGACCTTCTCATGGATTCCTCAAAATCAGCCTCTCAGTCACATACGAGTGGTTTTTCTTTGTTCGAGAGAAAGTTCTATCAGGGTGTATTGCAATTAGTTATGTCAATTCCAACGACCAGTTAGCAGACATCCTCACTAAGTCTCTCAAAGGCTCTCATGTTGACTTTATTTGTAACAAGCTTGGTGCATATGACTTATATGCTCCAGCTTGAGGGGGAGTGTTGAAATATAAAATAAGAAATAGAATTATTCTCATTGTAATATAGGAAATAGAATTATAATAGGAATAGGAAATAGAATTATAATAGGAATGTAACAATTTACTTCCTAGATTACTTCCTAGATTAGTTTTTTGTTTTTGCTATAAATTCATTGTACATCTCATTATGAAATAGAAGAAAATATTTCTCCACACTTGGTAACATAGAGGTAAGGAGCTCAACCTAAAACAGATACATTCAATTGAGAGAAGAACACTTACTAGATATTGAAATGATTCCTTTCTCATAAAAATATACATATTACCTCATATCTATATTCTAACAAAACACCAAAGCCAAAACGGCTCACAACATGCTGCTAGCCATGGCTAGTCAAGGTCCAAGACCTTGGAAGGTGTTATATATGAAAGCAAGATACACATTGCTTAAATAGTAATAACAAGCTTCAACATTAAAAGTTTAGCACATGCCACAGGTAGTGTCTTCAACAAGTCAAGCATGATTTTATTGAACATCAACCTACAGTTAAAATCCCCTTGAAAGCTTACCCAGCAAAAACCCTAACCCTCCTAAACAAAAACGCACAAATTAATCCACTGAACTAGGATAGGGTTTACCACTACAATAACAAACACTTACTAAACTGCAATTCACAGACTTTGAAAAATAAATAAATAAAAGAAACCAAATGCGGAAACATCATGAAATAATTTCCATTTCCCAACCTCATTGAGTTGAAACAAAAACCCTAACCTGATTTCTAAAGCACGGCTAAAACACTCAGCAGCTTCGCAGAAGTCTTTTGCTTCCAAAGCTTTGGTTCCTCTCACTATTAAGTCGTTGGAGAACTTCAGCTTCTCTTCTTGATCTCCATCATCAGGCACACCAGAAGTTTCACCGTCCTCCTCGTTGCCAATTGAGTCTATACCTCCCTCGAACAAAGATTGTATGGTAGCTTCAACTGAGGCTCGAGTTGCTCCTTGGGTTTCGGTAGATGGCGGAACTTCTTCTGTCATTGTCACCGAATCTTCTTCTTCCGCCATTGCTTCCGCTTCGCTTTAATTTTCTTTTGAAATGAAAATGAACAAAATATAAAACGCGAAAATAGCGCTTTTAACTTGATCGAACCTATGAAAAACGATGTCGTTATTAATGTTTGACCGTATGACTATATTACCCCTCTAAGATGACTTTTTTGTCCACACACCACAGAATTCATAAACCACTCGCCTTGGCTTCACGGATCAGACAGAGTGATGGCTTCCACAATCTCTTCGTCTTTAGTTTTATCGCTCCCTCGTGTGCGAATTGCGCACCCTGTCTCTTGCAAGGCGCAGACTCCTAAACCAGCGCCAGTACTTCATACCAACCGGAGGAACTTATTACTTTTCTCGTTGACGGCAATGCCGGTTTTAACAGCGAGAGAATCTGCGGGTTTGGCGCAGGACATTCCGCTGTTCGGTTTGAGGAAGAATCTGAAGAAGGCAGAGGAGGAAGCGGTGGAAATTGTGAAGGAAGCAGAGAAAAAGATAGAAACGGCAGAGAAGGAGATTGTGAAAGAAGCAAAAAAGGCGGAGAACGAAATCGAAACGACAGTGAATTTTGGAGCGTTGGCACAGGCGGGAGCTGTAGCTGGAGCAGAGGTTATCGGAGTGGTGGTTGCTAGTGCTGTCGTTAATGGAATTTTGGGACCTGAACCACGAAAGTCTTGAGGATTTTCATAATTATCAATCTTTTTTTAATGTTTTTGCTGTATTGTTTTATTAAGTTATTGTAATTATGGAAATTTAATGAATAATAATTATTTTCTCCATTGAAAATTTAGTTATGTGCATGAGATGTAAACCCTATACATTTTCTGCAAGGAAAATTTATGGAAATATTTTACAAGGCTTATAGGATAATCTTTTATTTGGAAGGAAGATATTTAGTGAAGATGTGGCCGTGGAGAAAACAAGGTTAAAACTGACTAAGAAAAGTTCAAACGTTAAAACAGTTTTTTAACTATGAAATAAAATTTTGTTCAGTATCTCTCTCTCTCTGACTCTATCCATGGCTCGAGTTTGTTCGAATCCAGTTGGTCTTCAAAGATTCCCGCCATCTTTTCATCCTATACATCAATCTCCCCAACAAATTAAAACTTGTCTCAACTCTCAACACAAGAGTCGCAGATTTCCCACTCTTGTAGCTTGCCAAACAACTCCTAATCCTCCTGAAACTAAACCGGTGTGTCTTTTTCGCTTGTTTTCGTTGTTTGCAACTGAATAGTTGTTGAGTGAATCATTAATTAGTATTTTCTGGCTGCAGGAAGAAGTAGTTGTGGAGACTGATTCAGCGACTGATAGCACCAGTACTCAGGCTACAAGCTCGTCCACGGATTCTGGTTTTACTCAATTCCCAAACAAAGAAATCAATAAGCGTGTAGCAATTGCTTCTACTCTTGGTGCACTAGGATTTTTCTTGTTTACACGACTAGATTTTGGTGTTTCTTTGAAGGACTTAACAGCCATTGCGTTACCTTATGAAGAGGTTTTATTATTATTATTATCTTAATTTTTTTTAGCTTAGCATTTTATTTGTTCTGACCGTGGGTTGATTTACTTTCTAGTCTGTTTTAAGTATAAGTTGCTATTACATATAATTCCAGAGCTAGAATTCTATCTAATTTTTGTATTGCTCTATGCTTTTATTAGTTTCATGTCTTTTCATAATCTTTTCAAGTGCTTTCCTAGCAGCTAGGACCAATGAATCTCTGCAGTTATGTTCAGTTTTATATCTACATATGTTATTCTATGCTTATAGAGTTATGTAGTTTGATTTTTATTATTCCTGGTTATACATTTTTGTGGTTTTCTAGGCCCTCTCAAACGGGAAGCCCACTGTTCTGGAGTTCTACGCAGATTGGTGCGAAGTATGTCGGGAATTAGCTCCTGAAGTATACAAAGTTGAACAACAATACAAGTAATAATCATCGAAATTTGACTTGTTTTACTGTATTCATGCATTTCTATGACTATCTAGTGACTACGAAGGTTCTTTGAAAGATATTATCACCAAATTTTATAGGCCCTGCAGATGCTTTTTTCTTAGTTTATAAATAAATCAACTTAGGTGATAACAGAAATCTTTTGATGAAGGGACCAAGTGAATTTTGTTATGCTGAATGTCGATAATACGAAATGGGAACAAGAGCTTGATGAGTTTGGTGTTGAGGGTATACCGCATTTTGCATTCCTAGATAGAGATGGGAACGAGGAGGGTAATGTTGTAGGCAGACTTCCAAGGCAGTACCTGCTTGAGAATGTGGATGCTCTCGCCCGTGGAGAAATCTCAATTCCTCATGCACGTGTTGTGGGGCAATTTTCAAGTGCTGAGAACAGGAAGGTCCATCAAGTTGTTGCTCCCAGAAGCCATGGATAGCTTCTACCTTCCCCTGGAAAATTGACAGATCAACTTTGTGACTGGAAATATACATGCAAGGTAATTTATTTTGAATTGATTGTTATTATCATCATCTCACTAGTTTCAAGCATGATTCCATGGTAATGAATGATAGCATCTTGCACTCTCTGCAATGGTTATTCAGAAGATAATCTGAAAAGTAATTTCATCCCACTAGACTCGAGGAAGGGATTTTCTCCTTTCTTTTCTTTGTCTGGGAGTCTTTCTTCCATTCAGAAAATTATCTGTAAACTGGCATGATATGCAATTCATAACATGCAAATGTTTGCCGAATTTCATGCTACTTAATTTGTAGCCTGTTTTCTGATGAAATTGTTTGTTTCACATTTTGTATCGAGTATTATGCAATTCTCTTAATATGGCCCCAAGGAAAAGAGGGTGAGATGTCAAACTGCTAAGCTCATTGTGAACTTTGTTAAAAAAAAAAAAAAAGAGAGAGAGAGAGAGAGAGAGAGAGAGAACATCTATTTTGTCCTTGATCTGCTTCGAAGAGGTTATAATCTAAGCTTACATATTGATTTTCTACCGTCTAATGAAATTTGAGGTTAATGAATACTTCACTGTGATTAGTATTAATCTGGATTATCCTTTACCTGCAGGCTGAAAGTTATATGGAAACCTTGGTTACCTGTAAAGTTAATTCTTTTTTGGAAAGCCAATGACAACCTCTCATATGGGGCTCGTAGTTGGGTCTATGGGTCAGATTTTTTTCGTCAATTGTAAAAACTTGTCTGGGAAGAATCCATTGTAGTACAACCAACAGATGTTTGGTTGTGATATTTTTAAACTATGCATCTCCTTGATCTCAAGTGTTTGGAACTTCAGCTCTTATTTTTCTTCTCGCATGGAATAGAATGCTTGTGGAGTCCTTGGATGTGGCAGGTTCTTCACAAGGTTAATAGAGTAAGATTATATTTTTCATCTGGATTAAAAAGCACTTGAATATGGTACCACAGGGATAAAAGGAAGAGGCAATTGGGAAACATGGAGGCGAAATATAAGAGATCAAACCTGGACTGTGTTTGTCATTTGTGATTGGTAAGGGAGAGTTCTACACTTCTACTTGCTCAATCACCGTACACATTCCTCTTTCCATTCCATTTGTGGACGCCCTTATAAATTTTATTTGAATACTCTATTTTCATGCAAGATTGGATTCTTGAGGTTCGAACACATTCGGCCAGAAATGATGGGATTAGGAATAATGAAGAAAACCTCATGCCTCGCATAGATTGTGTGCTTGAAATTGTAATTCTGATAATTGAATTATCCTGCCAAGTTAGTTTTCGTAAAAATTGCCACACCATCTGCCAGACAAGTTCATACTCTTTCATTAGATCTGTTGAACCGAAATTTGCAACATGCTGCAGATATCATTCTTCCTTTTGAATCTAAAGCAAAAATCTTGTTCAAACCTTATAAATTTTAATTGAATTCTTCTGTCCAATCTACTACTTGATATTTTTTTAATTGAATAACTATTCCCATCCACCAAACTCAAAACGCCATGAAAGTTTAGTTTACTATTGTCCTCTTCTGTTTCTCATATCTGTATAGAAGAGAGTATTGACATTTCTATTATCATGGATTGACCGAGTGGTAAAAGCTTAGGGATAAGAGGTTTGTTCTCCTTATGATCTCAAGTTCGAATGACAAGAATGATTGCTAATATTATTGTCTGTACCAATATCGTTAGCCATGGACCGCAATGCTTGCCCTGTTCGGTAATTATACATTTATTAACCATTCCATTTGTACCCCATCCCATAAATCACCAAATAATGAAAAATGAAAACTTTTAAGTTTGCAATTGTAATAGTAATTTCATAGGATTCACAAATGAGCAAAATTTTTTTGAATGCATGATTATGAAGCACTTTTCACATTGAAGGCTGATTGAGATCACAAATCTGCTCAGGTCAAGAATTCTACTGTCATCACCTTCCTCGTGACTTTGCCAGTATACAATATGAACTATGTTCATTCACTATTATAAATTAATCGCCAACAAACTTTACTAATGAATTAAAAACTAAAAACCGTAAGAGAAACGGGATACAGCTTTGAGATTGGTTCTATCCTTACACTTTCACACAAACATACAAACACCAGACCATTTTAGAATCTGGCTTTAGATATATCTATAAATATATACTTATAATCAGTGTAGTGATGGCTCCTACATTCTTCCACTTCCGATAATCTGACTATTCTCTTAGAGGAACTGCAAACAGAGAATAGATCAAGCATCCAAGAGATAGAGAATAGCCATAACTACAAGATATGTAGTAAACTCCAATAGTATTCACAAAAGTTTAAGAAATAACTTTCATGTCACTGAACTACATTACCCAGCAAGCTGTTTGTTGAAGGTGAACTCTGTTCGCTTAACCAAGGATCCTGCACAGATACAGGGGAGCTATCCTTTACCTCATCCAATGTAGCCAGACAATCAACAGCCTTAGCAGGAACAATTAATCTCTGACTCCTCGCTGCTGCCTTCTTAATCATCATACTACTACCTAGTGATCTCTCGCTACCAAAGTCTGATGATGAACAACATGAAGCTTGTGGAGATGCCATAAAAATATTTGAAGCCCATGAACTGACCCTGATGTGTTCTAGCTCTTCTGCCACTTCCGTCATAGTGGGCCTCATGTCTCTATGAAAAGCAAGGCATCTAAATGCTAGCTCTGCCACATTGTGAATGGATGAGAGTGTCCAAGCATCCCTATTTGGTTCAAGGTATGGATCTATTATCTCATCCACACAACCTCTCCCAATCCTGTCAATAGCTAGTGCAGCCAAATTCACTTCACTATGAGGGCGAGAAAAGTCAACCACCTTCAATGCAGTTATAATCTCTACTAGAACTACCCCGAAACTGTAAACATCACTTTTATCAGAAAGATGGAAATATTGATGGTATTGAGGATCAAGATAGCCTGGAGTCCCTTGTGGGGCAGTTGAAATGTGGGATGACTCAGTCATGCCAAGTCTAGAAAGACCGAAATCCGCTACCTTAGACTTAAAGTTGAAATCCAAGAGTATATTGCTGGATTTGATGTCTCGGTGATATATTGGTGGATTCATGACAGAGTGGAGATAGGCAATAGCCCGAGCAGTCTCAGTGGCAATAGTAAGCCGTATTGTCCATGGAAGTCCACTGCCTCTCTCTCTTTGCAGATGCTGACTTAGAGTTCCGTTGGGCATAAATTCATAAACAAGGATCGGTTCACCTTCCTGTATGCAGCAACCTAACAGGCGAACTAGATTTGGGTGGCTCACAGAGGATAGAAGCTTAATCTCATTCATGACTTGGTCAATGCTGTCAGTGTCTCTATATCTAAACCTTTTTATAGCAACCCATTCATCATTGTGGAGTTTTCCTGCATAAACTGTACCATAGGCACCAGTTCCCAGTCTTTGTTTCTCAGAGAAATAACAGGTGGCTCTTTCTATTTCTTTGTATGGGTAAAACGGTACACTAGAGTTGCCAGCAGCTTGAAACAGAAGGCGCTTAGCATTGAGCTGGTTTCTAAAAGAAGGAGATCGCCTTCGGATGCAGTAACATATAAGAGCCAGAACAGTCACAATGGAAGCTCCAGCAATAAGTCCTAGAGGCAAAAGCAGTGTGAGTCATGTTCTACTTTCCTTGTTTTCAAAACAAAAGAAAATATTAAATGCATAAATACTATTTATTTTTCAGTAAAGAAAACCTTGTCATAGACACATCAAGTAACAGAAAATTTAAATGATATTTTCTTAGTTAAGGGCTGACTGAACCACACCAAAACCATCTAATTGATTTGAGCCAAAATCACATGGTATTGTCATGCTGAGTTTCAAATCAGGATATCTCAAATCACAAGCATCCAAAGGAATTGTTTGGCCAAATTGTCTAGCTAAAAGTTAATTTAGTTATCATTGGGTGAGACAAAAACCTGAATTACTCCATGGTGACCAGTAAAACAATTAATTCTCCAAATATATCAAAGTATTTATAACAAACAACAAAACAAAATAACTGCTCAACAAAACTGCAGTGCGAACCTATGAAACGGGGTTACCATCTAGAATTCATTTACTTTCAAGAACCTTGGCAATTAAAATGAAAAGGAAACCCACTTTAAATACTTTGAAATTCTTTGGCAAGCAAGAAACACTGGAAGCACAGGTGTTCACACGAGTATTAAGATACTAAATCACTGCTTAGGTACGTAAAGAACAGCTAAAAGTGGTAATGCTGACAAGAAAGAAACTTTCAGCACTTTAGACACTCCAGTAGTTTCTAAATACCATTTTTAATGCAGTTAAGTTAACTACAGGAATGGGTCAAAAGTTAAAACAATAGTTCCTGAAGACATACAAACCACTAAACTGTATTTGTTGACATTGAAACATAAAATTTTACCTCCAACGAGAGCACCAACTTTGGTTCCTCCACAGCGGCCAGATAAGTAATTTTTAGAATTGCAGTCAGAAGCTGCTAACATGAAAATGAGGAAAAAAAGAGATAAGTAAAGACACACCAGCACAATACAACAAAACCATAAAGTTTCAATCTTGTTAGTTTTTCATCAGTAGTGAATAAATGGTATCTCACTTAATAAATAATTGTCTCTTGTATCTACGCGTTGACACCACTTCCTTTACAATCATGTAACCAGTAACAGATTTAATTGTCAAAATGATGACTAGCCTCATCAGATAGTGAAGTAAACTACAGTTGGTTTGTGAAGCAACATTCATACAATTTATTAATTTCAATGAAGTTCAGAAAAATTTTTTATATCTATTTCATGTTAGCATCATCCAAAATTAAGCCTTCATTTTTGTAAAGCTTCTACTCAACATTTGATCTAGCATTCAGCATCTTTACAGAAGAGAAGCTGAGAGACAAACATCGGTTATCAGCAATACATATATCCCTAGCCAAAATAGTCCAGCCAAAATCAGCTACAACTCTTTGTCAATGGCTTAAAAATTCCGCTAGTGGGCTCACAGCATTACAACTATTACATTTCCTTCAGGCTAAAGGCACGTGACTGACACATGCAGAAGTAAGAAGTTAGAAGCCCTCGCAGAGAAATGAGTTCTTTGGCAGCAGGTTAGCCACCCAAGTACGAGAAATTTTCAGCTCAGTCAGAAAATATTACCATCGACTTTTTAGAAATCATTGGACTTCATGAAAAAAACAGTGTTTTAATACTTATCTAACACAAGAAGTTAAAAGAATCTTTCAACTGCTGATTGGAATGGTCTTAATAATCAAGCAATCTTCCCTTTGACTTTTTGTAGCATAGCAGTTTCAACTTCAGAAATATCAGCCTGTCTTGTTTACACATGCGCTTATAAAAAAAGGAACTCTAGTAGGGTGGACTTCTAACTTGTTCGCAAGCACATCTATTTTACCATTCATAACATATGCTACAGCCTACAGCTGATGAGAGTGTCCAAGCATCCCTATTTGGTTCAAGTATGGATCATTATCTCATCCACACAACCTCTCCCATCCTGTCAATAGCTAGTGCAGCCAAATTCACTTCACTATGAGGGCGAGAAAAGTCAACCACCTTCAATGCAGTTAATCTCTACTAGAACTACCCCGAAACTGTAAACATCACTTTTATCAGAAAGATGGAAATATTGATGGTATTGAGGATCAGATAGTATCTGTAAACTGGCATGATATGCAATTCATAACATGCAAATGTTTGCCGAATTTCATGCTACTTAATTTGTAGCCTGTTTTCTGATGAAATTGTTTGTTTCACATTTTGTATCGAGTATTATGCAATTCTCTTAATATGGCCCCAAGGAAAAGAGGGTGAGATGTCAAACTGCTAAGCTCATTGTGAACTTTGTTAAAAAAAAAAAAAAAGAGAGAGAGAGAGAGAGAGAGAGAGAGAGAACATCTATTTTGTCCTTGATCTGCTTCGAAGAGGTTATAATCTAAGCTTACATATTGATTTTCTACCGTCTAATGAAATTTGAGGTTAATGAATACTTCACTGTGATTAGTATTAATCTGGATTATCCTTTACCTGCAGGCTGAAAGTTATATGGAAACCTTGGTTACCTGTAAAGTTAATTCTTTTTTGGAAAGCCAATGACAACCTCTCATCTGGGGCTCGTAGTTGGGTCTATGGGTCAGATTTTTTTCGTCAATTGTAAAAACTTGTCTGGGAAGAATCCATTGTAGTACAACCAACAGATGTTTGGTTGTGATATTTTTAAACTATGCATCTCCTTGATCTCAAGTGTTTGGAACTTCAGCTCTTATTTTTCTTCTCGCATGGAATAGAATGCTTGTGGAGTCCTTGGATGTGGCAGGTTCTTCACAAGGTTAATAGAGTAAGATTATATTTTTCATCTGGATTAAAAAGCACTTGAATATGGTACCACAGGGATAAAAGGAAGAGGCAATTGGGAAACATGGAGGCGAAATATAAGAGATCAAACCTGGACTGTGTTTGTCAATTGTGATTGGTAAGGGAGAGTTCTACACTTCTACTTGCTCAACCACCGTACACATTCCTCTTTCCATTCCATTTGTGGACGCCCTTATAAATTTTATTTGAATACTCTATTTTCATGTCAGATTGGATTCTTGAGTTTCGAACACATTTGGCCAGAAATGATGGGATTAGGAATAATGAAGAAAACCTCATGTCTCGCATAGATTGTGTGCTTGAAATTGTGATTCTGATAATTGAATTATCCTGCCAAGTTAGTTTTCGTAAAAATTGCCACACCATCTGCCAGACAAGTTCACATACTCTTTCATTAGATCTGTTGAACCGAAATTTGCAACATGCTGCAGATATCATTCTTCCTCTTGAATCTAAAGCAAAAATCCTGTTCAAACCTTATAAATTTTAATTGAATTCTTCTGTCCAATCTACTACTTGATATTTTTTTTAATTGAATAACTATTCCCATCCACCAAACTCAAAACGCCATGAAAGTTTAGTTTACTATTGTCCTCTTCTGTTTCTCATATCTGTATAGAAGAGAGTATTGACATTTCTATTATCATGGATTGACCGAGTGGTAAAAGCTTAGGGATAAGAGGTTTGTTCTCCTTATGATCTCAAGTTCGAATGACAAGAATGATTGCTAATATTATTGTCTGTTCCAATATCGTTAGCCATGGACCGTAATGCTTGCCCTGTTCGATAATTATACATTTATTAACCATTCCATTTGTACCCCATCCCATAAATCACCAAATAATGAAAAATGAAAACTTTGAAGTATGCAATTGTAATAGTAATTTCATAGGATTCACAAATGAGCAAAATTTTTTTGAATGCATGATTATGAAGCACTTTTCACATTGAAGGCTGATTGAGATCACAAATCTGCTCAGGTCAAGAATTCTACTGTCATCACCTTCCTCGTGACTTTGCCAGTATACAATATGAACTATGTTCATTCACTATTATAAATTAATCGCCAACAAACTTTACTAATGAATTAAAAACTAAAAACCGTAAGAGAAACGGGATACAGCTTTGAGATTGGTTCTATCCTTACACTTTCACACAAACATACAAACACCACATCATTTTAGAATCTGGCTTTAGATATATCTATAAATATATACTTATAATCAGTGTAGTGATGGCTCCTACATTCTTCCACTTCCGATAATCTGACTATTCTCTTAGAGGAACTGAAAACAGAGAATAGATCAAGCATCCAAGAGATAGAGAATAGCCATAACTACAAGATATGTAGTAAACTCCAATAGTATTCACAAAAGTTTAAGAAATAACTTTCATGTCACTGAACTACATTACCCAGCAAGCTGTTTGTTGAAGGTGAACTCTGTTCGCTTAACCAAGGATCCTGCACAGATACAGGGGAGCTATCCTTTACCTCATCCAATGTAGCCAGACAATCAACAGCCTTAGCAGGAACAATTAATCTCTGACTCCTCGCCCCTGCCTTCTTAATCATCATACTACTACCTAGTGATCTCTCGCTACCAAAGTCTGATGATGAACAACATGAAGCTTGTGGAGATGCCATAAAAATATTTGAAGCCCATGAACTGACCCTGATGTGTTCTAGCTCTTCTGCCACTTCCGTCATAGTGGGCCTCATGTCTCTATGAAAAGCAAGGCATCTAAATGCTAGCTCTGCCACATTGTGAATGGATGAGAGTGTCCAAGCATCCCTATTTGGTTCAAGGTATGGATCTATTATCTCATCCACACAACCTCTCCCAATCCTGTCAATAGCTAGTGCAGCCAAATTCACTTCACTATGAGGGCGAGAAAAGTCAACCACCTTCAATGCAGTTATAATCTCTACTAGAACTACCCCGAAACTGTAAACATCACTTTTATCAGAAAGATGGAAATATTGATGGTATTGAGGATCAAGATAGCCTGGAGTCCCTTGTGGGGCAGTTGAAATGTGGGATGACTCAGTCATGCCAAGTCTAGAAAGACCGAAATCCGCTACCTTGGACTTAAAGTTGAAATCCAAGAGTATATTGCTGGATTTGATGTCTCGGTGATATATTGGTGGATTCATGACAGAGTGGAGATAGGCAATAGCCCGAGCAGTCTCAGTGGCAATAGTAAGCCGTATTGTCCATGGAAGTCCACTGCCTCTCTCTCTTTGCAGATGCTGACTTAGAGTTCCGTTGGGCATAAATTCATAAACAAGGATCGGTTCACCTTCCTGTATGCAGCAACCTAACAGGCGAACTAGATTTGGGTGGCTCACAGAGGATAGAAGCTTAATCTCATTCATGACTTGGTCAATGCTGTCAGTGTCTCTATATCTAAACCTTTTTATAGCAACCCATTCATCATTGTGGAGTTTTCCTGCATAAACTGTACCATAGGCACCAGTTCCCAGTCTTTGTTTCTCAGAGAAATAACAGGTGGCTCTTTCTATTTCTTTGTATGGGTAAAACGGTACACTAGAGTTGCCAGCAGCTTGAAACAGAAGGCGCTTAGCATTGAGCTGGTTTCTAAAAGAAGGAGATCGCCTTCGGATGCAGTAACATATAAGAGCCAGAACAGTCACAATGGAAGCTCCAGCAATAAGTCCTAGAGGCAAAAGCAGTGTGAGTCATGTTCTACTTTCCTTGTTTTCAAAACAAAAGAAAATATTAAATGCATAAATACTATTTATTTTTCAGTAAAGAAAACCTTGTCATAGACACATCAAGTAACAGAAAATTTAAATGATATTTTCTTAGTTAAGGGCTGACTGAACCACACCAAAACCATCTAATTGATTTGAGCCAAAATCACATGGTATTGTCATGCTGAGTTTCAAATCAGGATATCTCAAATCACAAGCATCCAAAGGAATTGTTTGGCCAAATTGTCTAGCTAAAAGTTAATTTAGTTATCATTGGGTGAGACAAAAACCTGAATTACTCCATGGTGACCAGTAAAACAATTAATTCTCCAAATATATCAAAGTATTTATAACAAACAACAAAACAAAATAACTGCTCAACAAAACTGCAGTGCGAACCTATGAAACGGGGTTACCATCTAGAATTCATTTACTTTCAAGAACCTTGGCAATTAAAATGAAAAGGAAACCCACTTTAAATACTTTGAAATTCTTTGGCAAGCAAGAAACACTGGAAGCACAGGTGTTCACACGAGTATTAAGATACTAAATCACTGCTTAGGTACGTAAAGAACAGCTAAAAGTGGTAATGCTGACAAGAAAGAAACTTTCAGCACTTTAGACACTCCAGTAGTTTCTAAATACCATTTTTAATGCAGTTAAGTTAACTACAGGAATGGGTCAAAAGTTAAAACAATAGTTCCTGAAGACATACAAACCACTAAACTGTATTTGTTGACATTGAAACATAAAATTTTACCTCCAACGAGAGCACCAACTTTGGTTCCTCCACAGCGGCCAGATAAGTAATTTTTAGAATTGCAGTCAGAAGCTG